ATCCTTTCTTCTGCTTGGTTGATTCGGCTATTGAAACTTGTGTGTGCTTCACGAAGTTCTCTTGTGTTTTTCAACTCCATCAGGTCATTTATATTCTTCTCTAAGCTGTTTATTCTCATTAGCATTTTGTCTAACCTTTTTTCAAGGTTCTTAGTTTCTTTGCATTGGGTTACAACATGTTCTTTTCGCTCAGAGAAGTTTGTTATTACCCACCTTCTGAAGCCTGTTTCTGTCAGTTCATCAGACTCATTCTCCAACCAGCCTTGTTCCCTTGCTGGTGTGAAGTTGTGATCCCTTGGAGGAGGAGAGGCATTCTGGTTTTTGTTGTTTTCATCCTTTTTGCACTGGTTTCTTCCTATCTTTGTGGATTTATCTACCTGTGGTCTTTGTTGTTGGTGACTTTCAGATGGGGTCTCTGAGTGGACGTCCTTTTTGTTGATGTTGAAGTTATTTCTTTCTGTTTCTTAGTTTTCCTTCTAACTGTCAGGCCCCTCTGCTGTAGGCCTGCTGGAGGTCCACTCCAGACCCTGCTTGCCTGGGTATCACCCACGGGCGCTGAAGAACAGTAAGGGTCACTGCCAGTTTCTTCTTCTGTTATCTTCATCCCAGAAGGGTACCTGCTAGATGTCAGCCTGAGCTCTCCTTTATGAGGTGTCTCTTTGGATATACAGGGGTCAGGGAGCTGCTTGAGGAGACAGTCTGTCCCTTATAGGAGCTCAAGTGCTGAGCTGGGAGCTCTGTTGTTCTGTTCAGAGCTTCGGGGCAGGTACCTTTAAGTCTGCTGCAGCGGAACTCATAAATGCCTTTTTCCCCAGGTGCTCTGTCCTGAGAAGGTGGGGCTGTATTTATAAGTTCCTGACTTGCTGCTCCCTTTTTCCAGAGATGCCCAGCCCAGCAAGGTGGTAGTCTAGCTACAGTCTGCCAGCAGAGGCGTTACTGAGCTGCTGTGGGCTCTGCCCAGCTGCTGTGTGAACTTCCTGTTAGAACTGCCTCAGTAATGGTGGTCTGACTCAGTAATGGTGGACTGCTTCGGTAATGGCGGACTGCCTCAGTAATGGTGGACTGCCTTGGTGAAGGTGGATTGCCTTAGTAATGGTGGACTGCCTTGGTAATGGCTGACGCCCTTCTCCCCACTGAGCTGGACCATCCTGGGTCCAGCTGTGCTTGTTGTGAAACTCTCAATCCAGAGCATTTCAGATTGCTGATCTTTGTTGAGGGTGGGACCAGCTGAACCAGATCACCTGGCTCCCTGTTTCAGCCCCCTTTTTCTTCAGTTGAATGAGTGGCTCTGTATCGCAGGCATTCCAGGCGCCTGTTGAAATGGCTGCCCGGATTTGTGCGAGCTTTTGTGTGGAGACCCACAGTGTTGGCTGAAACAGCCATGCTGGAAACTTGTGGCGCTTTTCTGCCCGGGAATCTCCTGGTCTGTGGGCAGTAAAAGCTCATTTGGAAATGTGATTATGCACCCTCTGTGTTCTTCTGGCTGGGAACTGCACTCCAGAGCTCTTCCTATTTGGCCATCTTGGATCGATCCCACCCTCAATTTGCATTTCTTTCATGTTTAATGACATTGAGCATCTTTTCGTGTGCCTATTGGCCATTTGTTTATCTTCTTTGGAGAAATATCTATTCATATCTTTTGCCCACTTTTAATTGGATTATTAATCTTTCTGTTTTTGAGTTATAAGTTCTTTATTCTGAATACAACTCCCTTGTCAGATATATGATAAGATTGAGCCATCTTTGTAAATATTTTCCCACATTCTTTGGGTTGTCTTTTCACTTTCTATTTTTTTATTTTTTAGAGACAAAGTCTCACTCTGTCACCAAGGCTGAAGTGCAGTAGCACGATTATGGCTCATTGCAGCCTCGAATTCCTGGGCTCAAGTGATCCTGTCACTCTCAGCCTCCTGAGTAGCTGGAACTACAGGCATGAACCACCATGCTTAGCCAATTTCATTTTTTTTTTTTTTTTGTAATGATGGAGTCTTATTATGTTGCCCAGTCTGGTCTCAAACTCTTGGCCTCAGGTGATCATCCTGCCTTTACCTCTCAAAGTGCTGGGATTACAGGCCTGAGCCACTGCACCCAGCCAATTCTCAGCATTAATCAGATCTGTACAGTGGTCACAGTCCATCCTAGTTCAGTTGCTTTGGCCTAGAACCCATCTCCCAGTGTTGGCACATATAGTTGTTTTTCTAGGAGAATATCAATTGCTCTTTTGCTCTAAGAATTCAATGTTTCTTGCTGTGGGATCAAAGATTATACATTATCCCTGTGGCAAACCCACTGTTTTATCATCCCAACCATGGATGGTTTTGAAAGGTAAAGAGGGTGCTAATAGTACTTATGCTGGACAGATAGTTTAAATGGAGACTGTAGTGGGCACAGTAGGATGTGTGGTCACTCTGGTTATGCCTGTTCTGTGAATTTGCTGTTAATTGGGGAATACTGATATTAAAATGTTCTGTGTTTTTCCTCAAGTGCCACAGATATATGCTGGTCCGTGCACATACACACGAGTGCACATGCATGCACACACACACATATACTTAGGCATTCATGCCTAATAACAAATAAGGTAGAGGTAGGTAGTCTGGCTGAGTTAATGTAGAATTTTGCTAAAAAGAATATTCTTCTTTTCCTTCAGACTTGTTCACAGGGGGCACCTGCAGATCTTTTAAGTGCTCTTAATTCTTACACAGAAAGGGCATTCCAATTAATATGGTTTGTCAGGAAGAAATACTTATTAAAATGTCTTGGAATAATGGAACACGAACGTTTGAAAAGACCCACTTCACAGCTTTTATTCAAGTTATAAAATGGGAATTACTTCAGGTGTAAATAATTCATCCCAACAAATTTGTTTCATTTGGTGTCTATCTGCCTGGCCACCTGTGAATATGAGATTTTATTTTTGGAGCCCTGTGTTGTTAACCACTTGTTACTTTAACACCTCTCATGAATCAGAGTTCTGACCCTCAAGGGTCCAGACTTCTAAGTCCTTTTTCACTGAAGTGTTTGTGCTTTTCTATAGACAGTCTTCCAAACAGAAGAAGGCCATTCAAACTGCTATCCGCAAAAATAAAGAGGCAAATGCAGTGCTGGCTCGGCTGAACAGTGAGCTCCAGCAGCAGCTCAAGGTAAGGAATGAGTCCCAGATTTGGATGATGAGGCTTTTCTCTGGCTTTTAAAAAAGGTGATATTCAATGACAGCTCACTGCAACTTCGAACTCCTGGGCTCAAGTGCTCTTTCTGTCTCAGCCTCCCAAGTGGCTAGGATGATGGATGTACACCATCATGTCTGGCTTACTCTGATTTTTTATATTTCCTTTCTTCTACTTTAGGTTTCATTTGGCTTTCCTTTTCAAGTTTCTTCTTAAGATGAGAGCTCTCATGTCAATGATTGAAGACTTTCTTTTTTTCAAATATGAATGTTCAGTGCTATAAATTTCTTCCTAAGTTCAACTTTAGTTGCATTCTACACATTTTGAATGTTGCGTTTTTTGTGTTCATTTAGTTCTAAATACTTCCTAAGTTCCCTTTTCATTTATTCTTTGGCACATGGGGTATTTAGTAGTGTATTGCTTAGTTTTCAAAATGATTGGGGATTTTGCAGAGATCTTTCTGTTGTTGATTTCTAATTCAATTCCATTGTGATCAGAGAATATGCTTTGTATGACTTGAATTCTATTAAACATATTTGTACTTTAAAAAGGTGTTATTTAATAGACATATAATAATTGTACAGATTTGTGGGGTGGAGTATATCGTGATGTCTCCATACCTATCATGTACAGTGATCTGATGTGACCATTTGCTGACCCATTTAGTTCATCCCTGTTGACAAGACTTGCTTCTTTGTTCTCAAACCCCTTTTGGAAAGTGGAGAATTACTGTATTTAAGTTTCATGGGTTGGTTCATGCATAGTTAGAGGAAGACTAATGACTTTAATATGTAGGCTTCATATTGTATAGGAGTTAAAAGGAAAGAGAATCTATTATGAAGGCTGTTTGGAGCATTCTTTATTGTCCAGAGCTTCTGGGTAAGCCCTTAATTATTTACATCCTCGACATAAATTCTTGTTTCAGTAGAAGGAAGTGGCCCTGGTACTATCAAAGGCCAGCCTCTCCCCTGGTAACTTGCAAATGGTTCCATTTCACCTTCTCAAGGACATCACCCCTGTTTCTCTTCATCATCACTCTCCCGTGTATTTGTTTCCTAGGGCTGTTATAACAAAATACTACAAATGTGGTGGCTTAAGATAACCAAAAACTATTCTCTCACAGCTCTAGAGGCTGGAACTCTAAAATCAAGGCACTGGCAGAGCCATGATCTCTTCGAAGGCTCTAGAAGAGAGTTTTTCCTTACCTCTTCCCAGCTTCTGGTGTTGCTGGTAGTCCTGGGCGTTCCTTGGCTTACAGCTCCATTGCTCCAGTTTCTGCCTCTGTTGTCACATGGCCTTCTTCCTGTATCTCTCTGTGTCTGTGTCCAAATTTCTCTTCTTATTGTATCCTCTTATCATAAGGATACCGATCGTTGGCTTAGGACCCACCCTAATCTAGCATGACCTCATCTTAACTTGATTACATCTACAAAGAACCTATTTGCATGTAAGGTCACAAATGTGACCAGGTACTGGGGGTTAGGACTTGAATATATCTTTTGAGGGGACAGGTATCTACTCGCTATATCCCCCAGTTCTCTACCGGATCATTTGCTATCCACACGTAAATATGCTCCAGTATTGTCCATTACATTTGACAAATTACTGCCCAGTTTCTTTGGTCCCCTTCACAGCAAAGTTTCTTGGGAGTGGTTTTTATTCATTATCTTTACTTTCAAACCAGTGGTTTCTTTCTTTCACTTCAGTAAGCTTTGCTCTCCACTGACACCCATTTTATGGCCAAATCTAATGGGGCTATTTTAATACTATTAAAATTTTCAGAAGAATTCTGTACAGTTGATCATTTCCTCCTCTGAAATTGCTTCGCTAACTGGTTTTTGAGATACTGTACTCTCCTGGTTTTCCTTCTGCTTCACTGGTGCTTCCCCTTTTCATTCTCTGCTATCCCTTCCTTTCCTGACTTCACTTTTATACCCCAACCCCATTTGCCCCAATATTTTAGTGTGTACATTTTCAAACCTACAGGAAAGTTGAAAGAATAATAAGTGACTGCTTTTATAGACATCACATTGGTTCTACCAGTAACATTTTACTATACTTGTTTTTATCACATATCTACCCTTTTATCCCTGTTTCCATCAGTTCCTCTTATTTTTGAAATATTTTCAAGTAAATTACAGATATCTGTATACTTTCCCTAAATACTTTAGTGGGTGTATTATTAGCTAGGGTTCAATTTTTTTTTACAGTTTTTTCTTATGATGTAAAATGTTTATACAAAATGCATGCACAAATCTTGTGTACATTTGCTGAGTTTGTAACAAGTACATGTACTTACGGAACCCAAACCCCTATAAAGATAGAGAATATTACCATCATCCCAGGAAGCTCCCTCATGCTTTTTCCTAGTCAGTTCCTGCCCTACTCACACAGAGGCAATCACTATTCTAATTTTTATACCATAGTTTTGCCTGTTGTATAACTTTATATAAGTGGTGTCTTATAACTTATACTTGCGTGTAAAGCTTCTTTCACTTAGTATTATGTTTTTGTGATTCATTTATATTATTGTGTGTATCAGTAATTTGTTCCTTTTTATTCCTGAGTAGTATTCCATTGAGTGACTATGTCACAATTTGGTTATCAATTATATTGACAGACACCTGAGCTGTTTCCAGTTTTTGGCAATTTCAAATAAAACTGCATTTTAAATAAGTCTCTGTACGAAAGTATGTTCTCATTTCTCTTGGATAAATACCTAGGATCGGGAGTAGTAGGTAACATGGTAAGTGTATGTGGTTAGTTTCTGAGAAACTGTTAGACCATTTTTCAAGGTGGTTGTAGCAATTTGTACTCCTATCACTAATGTATGAGAGTCCCAGTTGTTCCACATCTTTGCCAACATTTGGTGTTATGATTCTTTTTAATTTTAGCCAGCCCTGTAGTTATATAGTTTTTATCATCATCTCCTTGCTAATTATGTTGACCACTTTTCTTTGTGATTATTTACCTTTCATATATCTTACTTCATGAAGTATCTTTTCAAATGTTATTTTTCTCCAAAGTAGTCTATAGATTTATTACAAAACCAATAAAAATCCCAGCAGGATTTTTTGTGAGTATAGACAAGCTAATCCCAAAACTTACATGTAAGGACCAAGGAGCTGGAGTTACTTAAACAAATTTGAAAACGACGAACAAAGTTGGAGGAATCATTTTACTCTCAAGCTCCAGCAATCAAGATGTTGATACATAGATCAATGGAATAAGATACAGAGTCCTGAAATAGACCACATGCAAACAGCCATTTGATCTTTGACAAAGGTGCAAAATCAATTCAGTGAGAATAGTTTTCAACAGATTGTTTTATAACAATTTGTCATTTGCATTTAAAAGTGAAACCTTGATCTAAACCTCACATCTATACAGAGATTAACTTGAAATGAGTCATAGATGTAAATGTAAAACATAAAGCTATAAAATTTTTTAGAAGAAAACATAGGCGAAAAATCTTCATGATCTGGGGTTAGAAGTGACATCAAAAGCACAATCCATAACAGAGAAAACTGAAAAATTGGACTTCATCCAAATTAAAACCTTTTATTCTGCCAAGGATTGTTAAGAAAACTAAGAGACAAGCTACTGACTGGGAGAAAGTGTTTGCAAACCACATATTTGATTAAAGACTTATATCTCAATTATATAAAGAACTCTTAAAACTCAATAATAAGAACTCTCAAAACCAAAACATCTCAATTTAAAAATGGGCAAAGAACTTGAACAGACACTTCACTAAAGAATATATAAGGATGGCAAATAAGTACATGAGAAGATATTCAACATCATTAGCCATTCGGGAAATGCAAATTTAAACCACAATTACATACCACTATACACATATTAGAATTGCTAAAACAAAAAATGTGACACCACCAAGTGCTGCCAGTTGGAGCTCTCATTTATTGGTGGTGGGAATGCAGAATGGTACTACTACTATGAAAAATCATTCAGCAGTTTCCTATGAAGTTATACATATACTAACTGTGTGACTCAGAAGTCTCTCTACCTTAGTGAGATGAAAATTTATGTTAATTCAAAAATCTATACATGAATGTTTTTAGCAGTTTTATTCATGATAGCCAAAACCTGAAAACAACACAAACGTCCTTCAAAAGATGAATGAATAAATTGGGGTACTTTCATACAAGGGAATAGTACTCAATGGAGGAAATAAATGATACACAACTTGGATGAAACTCAGACATTATTCAGAGTGAGACAAGCCAGTATCAAAAGGTTGTGTACTGTATGATTCCTTTTATTTGACGTTCTTGAAAAGGTAAAACTATAGTGAGGGAAAACAAATCAGTGGCTGTCAGGGGTTGTACATGAGATGAGAGTTTATATGCGTAGTCCCAGGGAACTTTTGGGTTTAATAGAACTGTAATGTATCTTATTTGTGGTGGTGGTTACACAAATCTGTACACTAAAAGAAAAAACTTGTTTTATCCTATGATAATTTAAAAAATAAGATTATTTTTTAAATGTCAGAGTTCATTCTGTTTTATGAAACTTTGTATGTGAACTTGTTTTTGTTTTATTTTGCATTTTATTTGGTTTTGGTTTTTCTCCTCTCTCTCTCTGCTTTGGGGTAGGCCAGTTTCATCCATTGTTCTCTACATTTGGTGAGTTCTTTTAACTTGGAAACCGATATTCCCGAATTCTGGAGGGTTTTTAATTTTTATTTTTCTTGTTGCTGATTATTTCCTCCCCCTTGCCGTCACCTCCAGTTTTTCTCATTCTCCCTTACTGATATTCAGACATTGGAATTCTTAGATCAGTTCTCTAATTTTCTCTTCTGTTTTCTTTCTTTTCTCTTTCTTCCTACCTTTTCTTTTTTATTTTTGTCTCTTTCTGGAAACTTAATCATATATTCTAAATCTTCTGTTGTTTAATAACCAATAATTATTTTTTTCTTCTCTGATTATTTATTTTTGATATCTTATTCGTGTTTCATTGTTGTGATCTTTTTTCATGGTCATTTTTCTTTCTTCTTCCTGAATAGTTTGTGTGTGTGTGTGTGTGTGTTGTGTTGTGTTGTATTGTATTTGCCTTATCTTAGATGCTTTTCTTCAATATCTGATGGCTCTTCTTTGCTCATGTTTAAAAGTAAGATGAAAACACTGATTGGAAGTTCATTGCACATTGTGAGGCTTGTCAACTTTTAGCTTCACTATCTGGCAATTTGGCTCGGCTGTATAGTTGTGGAATCGTCAAAGGGAATATGATTATTTCTTTACTCTTGGTCTGGTTGGAGTCTGCAGAATGGAGACTGTTTTGGTCACCTGCATAGAGGGAAAGAGCTGGTTTAGTGGAGCAAGAGGGCTGTAGGTCTCAGCATTCCAGGATATTCATTCACTCTTCCTATTTCCAGCCCAGTATCTTGCCCTCAACTGTGACTGTTTCTTGCTAATCCAGATGCTCTCTATTGTACCATTTCAAGAAATAAACCTTCAGCATTCGGCCCTGGTGGCAGGAATGATCCGAGGACCTAATTTGTTCTCAAACAGATTTTCAACCAACACTTATTTTAGCCAGCCCCAATCTCCCCTTGTGCACTCCCACTTTCATAAATGTCTGGTGTTGCCTGATATTCCTGAGTCTTTCAGGAATTCTCCTATGTAAAATTAAATTGGTTCTTAATTTTTATTCCTGTTAGCTTGGGACTCACCTTTCTTTGCTTGATCTGTATGAGTGGAAAAGTTCTAAGTCTAGTGAACAGAAGTCTGAAGAATAATTGAAACAGGACTATAGTCATAGCCCCTCAATTAATTCCTAGATTAAGCCAGTTTACAGGTCCAGAACCTCTTGGATGATGAAGGGCCATCTATGTCTCCTTAAGGAAGGGCCCCGCTGTGCAGCCAAAAATTTATATTGTAAATCTTTCTCCTAGCCTTTCCCAAGGGGACCCTGCTGCCCTTCCTGTAATGCACAGTGTGACTGTGCATTACAGGAAGGGAAATAATTAGACTTTTGGAGAATTACTAGATACTGGCTCTGCGCTGACACTAATTCCAGGAGATGCAAAGTGTCACTGTGGTCCATCGGTCAGAGTTGGGGCTTAGGAAGATCAGGTGATCGATGGAGTTTTAGCTTACGTTCCTCTCACAGTGGACCCAGTGGACTCCCAAACCCACCCTGTAGTTATTTCCCTAACTCTGGAATTCATGCTTGGAATAGACATACTCAGCAGCTGGCAGAATCCCCACATTTATTTTCCTGGATTTCCTAAGTCATTTACCATTCACCAGTTTGCCACTCAGCTTTCTGCTATCATCTTGTCCCTTTTGTTTTCCCTGCCTTGTGGGTCCGTGACTTTGAAAAATTACTGTATTGTTTTAGTGGTGCTCCAGAAGGGAGAGAGTATGGTACCTCTGGTCACTCTTCCATCTTTATCTGGTCATTCTTCCACCTTTACCTGAAACCTCTATCTATACTGTTTTGCTAGATGATGTTATATGGTCTTTTGGCTTTGAAGACTATCTGTAAACTAGTGAAACCTAATTTATGTCTTCAAGCCCTACTTCTCTTTTCCTCTGAGCTCTAGACTTGCATATATAACTTCTTAATGTTTTCTCCTTAGATATCTAATATACATCTCAGATAATTAATTCTAAACCCTCTCCTTGAAATATCAATTTCTCATCTGATCTTCTTGTTCTCAATATCACTACTAGCCAGCTACTTTCTTCATACAAAAATCCCAGGAGTCATTCCCAGATTTTCCTTCTCTTCTACATCAACTTCATCAGCGAGTCCTACTAGTTCTAGATTCAAGATTTATCTAGAATTCATCCACTTCTCTTCATCTTTATGGCTTCTATCCTGATGGAAGCCATTTTCATTTCTCACCTGGGTCCATGCAGTAACCTCTCAGTTGCTCACCTGCTTCTAGTCTCACTCTCTTATAATCTGCCTACACAGTAGCCACAGTGAAAATTTTGACTTATAAGTTGGGTCATTTTCCTTCATTGATTAGAAACTCTCAATGCCATCCCCCCCCCCACCCCCCGACTCTTCCATACTCCTTCCTCTGCCCACAAGGCCCTGTATGATCTGGTTCCTTGCCTAAATTTCTGACTTAATTTTCTGCCAATGTTTTCCTTGTTCCCTCTACTCTGGGTCACACAGGCTTCTTGTTCATCAAACTCACCAAACTCACTTGCCCCTCAGGGCCTTTGCAGTTGCCATTTTGTCTCTGTGAATATCCTTCCCCCCATATCTTCATATGGCTCACTCCTCATTTCATTCAAGTCTTTGCTCAAGTAGTGCTAACTCTGAGAAGACTTCCCAGGCCACTCTCTCTCCTTTCTCCCAGATCCCACTGTGTTACTCTCTTTGATGCCATCTTATTTATTTCCTTCTGGAAGTAACTTATTCATTAACTTTATTATCTTTCTCAAGCCATTTGAATATAAGGCCTGTTACTCTGATCTGCCATGTTCTTTGCTGATACCATCACAGCTAGAGCAGTACCTCACCTATAGGAGATAGAAACCAAAAGACTTCTGGCTGGGTGGCTAGGAGAGCATGTGAATAAATACTTGTGAAGTTGTATACTGAATATTAGCATACTGGTTCTTCTGAATCTCACAATTCAGCCTTTATATGGAATTCTTTCCCACTTTGACTGGTTCTACTTGAGTACTTTTATGTGTTCCTTCTTTTCTTGCCAAAAAATCCGTTTTAGTCCTGAAAGCTTGAATTCCCAGACAGCAGATTGCTTGGCCTCTTTTCTGCCTTTCACCCAGATGTTATACCTTATACCATGTGTTGTGCAGAAACCTGGATGAGACTTTGGTGGAGGGGCAACTAATGTACCTTTTTGGCCCTCAGACCTGACTGAGTATGGTGCTGGTTTACAAACCCGAGATTGCAACTAGAAATTTAAGTCCTATTTGCTCACCACTCATTATTGGGAGTCTGTTTTTGCTTTCCGCTCTCTCCTAGTCTTTTAATTTTTAATGACACTCTCCACCAGCTACTGATCCTGTTAAAACAGGCTAAAACTAAGGCGGGGTGGTAGAGGGGAGTAGGTCAGTTTCATTTCATTGTCTTCAGAAAGGAGTTGAGAAATTACAAATTGTGAAGCCCCTTTTGTCTGGTCACCAGCATTAAATCTGGTACCTCCCAGTCCTCCTGTTCTTGAGTTATACAGCACTTGTGTTTGTGGGTCCAGCCATAAGTTTCCTTTTAATATCTGATGAAGTAGGGATGAATTCAAGAAATGACTCCTTTGCTTTTTTGTTTTTCTTCTGTTTTGTACAACTCAGGAGGTTCATCAAGAACGAATTGCATTGGAAAACCAATTGGAACAACTTCGTCCAGTCACTGTGTTGTGACCCCCCCCCATGGTTCAAGTGACAGTGGGTGACCTTGTCTGCCAAGATCTTTCTTTCAAATGTTTTGAATCCAACTACTTGTCATAGATGTTTGACTGTGTCAAAAGCTGTGAGCAGCAAAATATAATCCATATGACCTTTTCTCTTGCACTTCACTTGTATGTTTTACTGTGGTGGAAAAAATACTTCAACTGATTATCACACTTGAAATGGTAATTATCAGTGGAATTTGTCTCCTATTCTTAAGTACTTCTTCAAGGTGTTAGATGCTGCTCCTTACCAAAAATCAGTTTTCTAGCAAATAAAAATAACAGAGCATTATTTATTTAAAGAATTTATGATTTGCATAAAACCTTGTAACCAAGTATCTTCAGGATACTTGTAACCAAGTACTTTCAGGATGCTTTTTGTATGTATATCACATATAGTAGGTTGGTTTCCTGAATAATTGGGATTCCAACTAGATAGTCGTTGGTGCAACGATAACAAAAACAAAAGCTAAAATAAAATAAGAGCATCAGATTTTGACTGGCGCTGTGCCCTCCACCACTATATGCCAAAAATTGCTTCTCTATTGCCATTTTGATATTATATCTAGCTATAAATAATAGATGACTATTGTTTCCTCTTGAATGTCAAAGACTTATTGGGTCTTTACACCTCTGTAAAGTGGAACTTTTGGCAATGAGCTATTTAACTTGGCCAAGCTAGGCCGTCAAGCCAGACAACTCATTCCTTTTATGTAAATTTTTGGGCAAGAGAAGTTCACTTTGACTGCTTCGCCTGATCAAATTAAATAAATAGTTGCCAGATCTCTACTTTTATCCTGCATGGGGTAATATATCTGTAAGTGCATGAGCTTGGAAACCACCCATCAAATATGAAAGGCTGATGAGACTGTTAGGATTGATAAACATTTGTTGTTTGAACCCAGGTATCCAAACTGGGGAAGAGGGGGAAATGGTTGTTACCAACAATCTCTAGTAGTTATTTTTAACCTGGATTGCAAATGTATTGGGTATGAAGAGATAATGAAAGAAAGTGGTCCTGATGGTGGATATATGACTGTTTTGTTCTCCGTAAAGTGTACTCGTGGGAAGTGATTGGTTTATATCAGATTCAGAGGAGTCCAATTAGCTTCAGTGCAGGTGATGTAAAACAGTAAGCTCAAATTGCAGAAGCCAGTATCCTACAGAAATTTTAAGTAGCTACCGCTTCTCCTAAAAGCCCAAATTGAAAATGGGACCACAGGGTCACAGGGCCACTGGCCCTCACAGGGCATGTCAGCTTTAACACCAGAGAGACTAATGGCAAGAAATGCTGTCTCTTGTGCATTTTACTAATTTCCCCATTCTTAGGGTATCAGGGTGGGGGTGTGTGTACAGGGTCTTTTGAAGCAGTTTTGGATAGGTTTACAATATGTAGGATTCAGCCTTTGATTTCAATAGAGCTGAGAGTTTTTAGAACAAGTTTAGAACAAGTAGGCATTTATTGTTTCCTTAGTCCATTGGCAAGCTTAATGGCAGAGGAGAAAGGCTCAAACAGATGATGTTTTTCCACAGAAAAACAAATTGTTGAATCTATTCCATGCATATTTAAGGATTTTGAATTGATTTGATTTTGAAAATCATGAATATTGGACTATTTCTCTATTCCCTTTTTTCTTCCCCGTTTGCTGCCTATTTCATTTTTTTAGGGGGGAAGGGTTGGGAATAAGTTTAAACTTTTTCTAAGATTATGAATGGGTCAGTACAATTTTTAGGCAACTGCTTTTTCCATGTTCTGAGATCTAGGGGCTACAACAAATTTTATCAGTAGTGTTTTTTTTTTTGTTTTGTTTTGTTTTTTTTTTGTTTTGTTTTGTTTTTTTTTTGTTTTGTTTTGTTTTGTTTTTAAGATGGAGACTTGCTTTGTTGCCCAGGCAGGAGTCTAGTGGCACAATCTCAGCTCACCACAACCTCTCCCTTCTGGGTTCAAGCAATTCTCATGCCTCAGCCTCCCAAGTAGCTGGGATTACAAGGCACCCACCACCATGCCCAGCTAATTTTTGTAATTTTAGTAGAGATGGGGTTTCACCAGGTTGGCCAGGCTAGTCTCAAACTCTTGACCTCAAGTAATCTGCCTGTCTCAGCCTCCCAAAGTGCTGGGATTATAGGCATGAGCCATCCTGCCCAGCTATCAGCAGTGTTCTTACTGCAGACATTTCACAGCATGTTTGGCTTTTGGTAAATTCAATCTGGGAAAGACTAGCATGTGCACTTTATCTCATAATCTTCCAGTACATGTGCTCTCAGTTGGGATAGCACTTCATTTCCATTAGGTAGACGTATAAACTAAGGAATGTTAATCAGCACTATTCATTTAAAAAATATTGACATGCTTTTCCCCTCCCCTCCATGAAATCAGTGCCAGAGTGAGCCAAATTAGGAGATTGGGGTTTTGTTTGCTTGGTTTGGTTTCCATTAAGGGAAAAAACTTGCATTAGACAATTAGATTCCCCCCAGTTTCATAATCTCATCAATATTTTAAGATAGGCAAGCACACATTAATAATATTTATAACAACCTTCTTGGGTAGACTTAATTGTAACCACAGTTTGTTAGTTACTTAGAAGTGGAGTTTAAAAAAACAGTTAAGTGTGTGTGTGTAAGACACAAGTAATGACACACTGCTGTTATTACCTAAGTAGTGCTTATCCTCTCTTCCTGTGTTTTCTTAGCATGCGTACTTTAAATTTAGGATTATAATGCCTGTTAATATTTCTGCGAGCCTTTAATGTGATTTATAGGATGGCTGAGTTACTGAAATCACCATTATACCTCTTCTATAAAATGACTCCAAAATTAGACCTGCCTGTTGGGGAGAATTCTATAGACAGAAGGTCAGTGTTGTCCCCATCTATAGGGGCTGAATTACCTTGCTTTTAAGTGGTCTTCCCCCATTGGGATCCTATAGTCCCACAGGTGAAGGCACAGTAGTAGCTGACAGCCAGCTTATTGGGCCCCTCGGCATCTTGTATGTCGCATAATGCTTTTGCCACTTTCCTATCCAGCAGACATCAAAGCAAGCCCAAAAAGTAGATATCTGGAATGAATGTGTATATTGTAATTGAGGCAGATATTTACCTTAATTGGAAGGATGTAACTGTTTTACGAATATTAAGCAAGTGCTTGGGCATGATTGAGAGAGGAGGCAGCTTAGCTGGAAGCTGTGCCCATCTTACTGTCACTGGAGAATAGCATGTCAGAGCTGGGCAGGCAGTACTGGTACCCATCACTTGCAGTTTGCATGTGGGGAAACCAAAGCCCTAAGAAACAACAGTTCCTGGCCCAAAAAATCCATAGAAAGGGGTAACTAGTGGCAGATTTGGGATGCCAGTCTGCATTTATGTTTTTGAGTTAGATTCTCTAAGCTCGATCAATACTAAAAATAGATTAAAAGGTTGTTTTTTTTTTTTTTTTTTTTACCATGTTGAATTTCCTTGACTTAGTCTTTAAATTTGAAAACATCTTTTAGGGAGTTTAGTTCTAGAAATTTCTCTTGGATTGAAGTGACAAAGTCTGAAAGAAAAGAATATGATTGAACTATTTGTTTTTCTGAACACCTCACCTTTTATGATGCAATAAGTTACTCTGAGTTTCTTGGCAGAGGTTTTTGACAGCTGTTGCTTTCAATGGATTCCATTCCTATATTCCTTATGGGAGTTTGTTTTTAAAATAGACTACTGTGATTGAAATGAACTCAATATGTAGTTAAGTTATAGTTTTCTTCAATATATTCTTAGCTACTTGGGTCACAAATGTTCAATTTCAGCATATTTTAGGGTGAGTAATAACAAATGTGAATTTGCCTTTGATTTCCTACCACCGTCTGAACTATCATAAAGCATTCTTCTCTTTAGCTGTGATTTGATTCTATAGTCTGTTTCTAAATGACATTTGTCTGTTTCTGAAATGATTTCACAGCCGTGGTAATAATAGATGTGTACTCAGAAGATCAATAAGGTAATACTGGAATTCATGTGTTTTTTGCAATTAAGGCAGGCATTTGCTAATGTTTTCTCTTAAGCAGTAGTCGAAAAGATCTCAATTACAGTATAACACCTTAGAGCTAAAAACATTTGTTCAACACAAACTAGAATCACACCTTCTCACTAGATATCATCAAGGGAATGTGGTTTTAAAAATAAAAAGAAAAGAATATAATATATAATAGCAACCAGATCTTCCCATATTATTGACAAGCAGGGCCATTTAGGTTGTGGTTTGAACATTCTGAATGTGAATAAAATGAAATAATAGTTAAGAGGTCTTTTCCCCCTCTGTTTAAAGAGAACATTAGTAACTTTGGTTTTTCTTTCTGTTTTATTGTTTCAAGTGTATTCTTTTAAAACTCTGATTTCAAAGGATCAGTTGAATTTATACTTTAGTTATGGGTGTTTTGTTATGTTTTGTTTTGCGTCATGACTCAGTATCATTCAACTTCCTAGTAAGAAGTGGGAATTTGTGGTTTTGGAGTCCTCAGCTCACATATCTTGCTCCTCCTTCAGCATAAGCTAAGGGAGATACCACCAACACTGATAGATTAGTCATTGATGGCAATTTGAAGGTGGGTATTACTCTGTGAGCCACCCTGCTTCACTTGTTTGTAAGGAGAAATGGATCCAATTATGTTAATTTCCTTAGAGCAGCAGACATGGAGGGCCAGACTTTAAAAGCAGTGCAAGCAGATTCAAAGAGCTGCTGCCCTCACCTAAAAAAGGCTTTTGGAGGCTGCCTTACATGCATGCCCTAAAGCAGCCAGTCTGTTGGTATGAGTAAGACATCCGAAGTACATAGTTGCTTTTAGGCTTGTATAGTTATTTTCTACATGTGCTAATACATATGATAAAGGAACCTTTTCTAGGAGGCATTGCATGGTTTCAATACACAGGACATGTTCTAGTTAAAGCCTTGCTCTGCTGTCAACAACTGGAGAATGCTCATTTTTTCATGTTTTGTGAATACTCTGGTCTTGCTGTAAGCTAATGTCATGACTGTCGGAGATTAGAGAGAGTGGGTTTATGACTCTGAAGACCAGAAGGCATAAGACTTTAAAAGGGCTTAAATTGGAATTTGGGAACTACAGTAAAGAAACCTTCAGCTACCAGTTACATCCTGAAGCACTCTGTTGAAAAACAGGGCTAGATCCTAAAGCTCTTTCAGGGAGCTCTGCCCTGGGGCTGGAACAGTTGATGCAGCAACCCCATTGTGTGGAGACTGGATCAACTGAGTTGTGTTATTTTTGTTTTAAGTCACCTTGTGTGAGAGCCTCACTGCATCTGTCTTGGGAACTGGGTATACCCTTTTCTTTAGCACTGCCATCCTTTTTGTCTTCAGCACAAATAAGATGTTCAAGTGAGCCAGAGGCAAGAAGGGCCATTTTAGTCTTCATAGCTATTGGCCAAGAGAGATAATGAGCTGATGGTCTATTTTAACCTTGAAAGTAAAAATGTATATTTTTTCAGTACAAGTACATTGAACAGTATAACAGCAAAGTATATATTTGATGCCTTCTGTCTTTTCATGATATGTGCTAACAAGTTGTGTTAATATTTTACTCAGCCAGAGTCTCATTCATTTGCTAAGCATTGGGAACATTATGTATATTGACCATAAACATAGGTATCCTATATTTGGATTGTGACTTGTAGACTCAAGCTAACCTTACTGCCTCTTTTTCACGCTTGTTGAAAAGTCTATGAAGAACATAGTAAGTTAAAGATCTCCAACTTTGGAAAATATACATGATGTGAAACTGGGGTGCTATGTTAAAAATAAATGTATGATAACTAAGTGTGGCTTTTATCGAGTCTTCGTGTCAATATATTGTGGTTTGCATTTGGCTCATGCATTTAATGAAAGTGATGGGAAAAGGAGTTGGAAGTTTTTTCAATTAAATCAAAGTCTGAGATTTGGTTATTTTTACCTCCTGGTGATCTGAGACAGGTTCTTAAAATACCTGCGCACAGTAATCACTTGGCAGTCATGGGATATCATGGCTGATTCACAGTGCATTTTAAAGATCCACTTAATTGAAAACTTGGCCTAATGTGGGCCCAGGTTATTTGCTTTATCTTGTTAGTGTTCTTTTTGTTGAAAAATATTCCCATCATGATGTCCTTAACTGGAGTTGAGGTGATCGAGAAGGATCAGAAAGTTCACTTGAGATCTCAACCAAGTAATCTGGCACCCTTGTTACAGTTTCTTACCTTTAAAGTTTGAATAATTTGGGAAGGCACCTCTCCTATTGGGTGAGGGGTTTTATTCCATATATTCCATATTGTGAATGCAAATGGTGGGCCACACATAGGATATTTCCAATCTAGTAGTCCCAAAGGCCAAACTAACTCTGGAAGAGTCATCTATCATTTGGTCCATAAGCTTGGATGCTGGGGATCACCAGACCCTGACCATTCCTAAGCATTGATGTGGATCACTGGGTCATTTGCTTTGAGATAAAAGGGATCTGAGATAATCTATGCAAGCGGTTCTCAAAGTGTGGTCCCCAGACCAGCAATATCAGCATCATCAGGGACTTATTAGAAATGCAAATTCTTGCCACCCCTCCCTTGCACCAACTGAATCAAGAACTCTGGTAGTGGGACCCAGCAATCCATGTGTTAATAAGCCCTCTGGGTGATGCTGATGTACGCCGAAGTTGGAACTACAGACTTGCCAATCTCATTTTATAGTCAAAGAAACTGTGGTGCAGAAAGGCAAAACTGACTCATCCAGTCTCAGCTGATTCAGAGCAAAGGCTAATTGTGTTTCCAGGGCATAGTTTTTGCTGTGCTACAT